AGTAAATCAATGTGTGTTACAATATTCAGGATTAAGTTCACATGAGAGATAGGACCTGAGCTGATTTTAGATCAAAATAAAGGCAAGAGGAAGTGTCAAAAGAAAGAAACATCCTGCAATGTTTCTGTGAGAGATCCTGCTGGAATGAAAAAGTGAATTCTTTCTCTGAGAAAAAACAGGGATCACAGGTCTCCCAGCTGAGGCCAATGTCTAGAACAGAGAACACACACCTTCCCAGAATAATGTTAAATGACAGAACACGATTACAAACATCTATTTTCAGTGGGCTCTCAGGGTGTCTGGGAGTCCTGTGATTTCCAATAAGGTTTTTATTTCCCACCACAAGCATTGCACCGACTCAGAAGATGAACTTCGAGAGAGGGGAACAGTGACGAGCACTGTGGGTTCACTCCTGGTGCTTCCTGGGACCATCCTCACCTCAACAGAGACCCTCATAGAAAGAGCACCAACCTCAGACCCAGTTTCTGTCCTAATGCATGCTACCTGCTCCTTCCCATGCATCTCACCTCCCTAAGGAGCTGTCGCCCAAGCAGAGAGGTGGCACACATGAATTAAATGGAAAATATGCAGACACTGAATATCGTACATCAAATGAATTACACAAGACATATAAAGAGGTTGAAAGGGTTGTAGATTGGGGTAGGAGACTTGAGCTTAGAAATAAATTGGATGAAGTGTTCTAAGGAGAGTTCACAGAATACGCTCTCAAAAGCACATAAAATTTTAACCAACGTTTACCATAAGAGCACAAGGAAACACTCAGAAAATGTAAACCATTGTTTTGGATAAAGAGACATCACATTAGGATCCTGAAAAATTCACAGAAGGAAAAATGCTATCCTAAATCTCCAAGAAAGCAAGGTTTAAAATTTTGTGACTCTGGTAAATAGAACAAATTATTCTGTGTTAAATGAAAATATAAACAGGCTTTACTAGGACATGATGGGGAAGAGAAGATGGCTTCTTAAGAAACAGGGGCAATGAAAGGGAAGGAGAGAATATCCCCTTTTTTCTAGAAGAGAACTGAAATAATAAACAAGGTCAATGCTAGAGAAGAGAACATCTCCCCTTTTTTTCTAGACAAGAGTGAGATATCCCCAAGTAATTTATCTTAACATACACTTGTGACATACAAGGATTATTTTCTACTAATTATAAATGAAGAAACTAAATTTAAATAGCTTGCCCAAAGCTACACAGCTGATAAGTTAATGGCAGAAATCAGTGTTCCCGTATTGCTTTTGCAATGATCAGATAATCGAATCCAAGGTGGGTAAATTTCCATGCTCACTTGAATGGTTCTCAAATCCAACCATTAGTACAAAGATATAATTCATACAGCCAAAGATTTGGGTCTCTTATCTCTGTACCAGCAGCAGCATATCCAGCACCAAAGACGTTTTTCATGATGTAGCATAAACTTTCAACATTTCTATCTCGACATAGAACAATGACGTGTTAAGGGAAGAAACGGCATCATCCTATTGATGGACAAGTAGAGACAGCCATAAAAAAGGCCAGCTGTGTGTTTAAGGAATATAAAACAACTGAAACTAAGGCATATTTTCATCCAATTTCAGAACAGTGTGGATGAAATGATCTTCAAGTGATGCAAGACAAAGAAAAATGTTAAAAACCAAAACAAGCTGTAAATAAAGAAATGAGAAACAGAACGGCTCACATTTCTCAGTAGCAACACTGAATGCCAGAAAACAATGGTGTAAAATAACTATGAAATCATGATAGAAAATAATTTTCAGCCTGCATTTCTCAGCTAACCCAAGCTATCCAAAAAATGCAATTTTCATTTCTGCCAGGATCTGAAAACTAAATAAATTTCCATTTCATCCATTCTTAGGAAGTTCTTGGATAATGTGTCTCAGCAAACTGCAGGAACACATCAAAAAGAGAAGAAATCGTAGGATTCAGGAAATAGGGAATCCAATTCAGAATAACAACAAAGAAGAGCCCCAAGATAAGAACTGTGCAGAAGAACTGGTTAGCAACCAGTCCAGAAGGAAGCAGGGACACTCTAGGGTACATTTTCAAATACTGTCACAACATAGACTGTGATATGCTAAATGAGAAACTCCTTGGCTCAGGTCATGATTTCCAGGTCCTGGGATGGAGCCCCACGTCGGTCTCCCTGCTCAGGGAGGAGTCTGTTTCTCCTTCTCCCTCTGTCACTCCCCCTGCTCGTGCTCTCTCTCTCTTTCTCTCTCACAGATTAATAAATAAGATATTTTTAAAAAAGGAAAAAAACTTGGATTTTGAGGGGTACCTGGGTGGCTCAGTTGGTTAAACATCCAGGTAACCCTTGGTTTCGCCTCAGGTCATGATCTCAGGTTCGTGAGATGGAGCTCTGTGCTGGAGGTCCAGTGTGGAGCCTACTTAAGATTCTCTCTCTCCCCTCCCATTGCCCCTCCCCTTGCTCACATGCACACACACACTCTCTCTCTCAAATAAATAAATAAATAAATCTTTAAAAAAAAAAAGAAACTTGGATTTTGAGGTAGAAATGAAGAGCACAAAAATGGTGAAATGTGGATAGATATTAAAGATTTTTCTTGGGGCGCCTGGGTGGCTCAGATGGTCAAGCGTCTGCCTTCGGCTCGGGTCATGATCTAAGCAAGGAGCCTGCTTCTCCCTCTGCCTGCCACTCCCCCTGCTTGTACTCTCCCTCTCTCTCTCTCTCTGGCAAATAAATAAATAAATAAAATCTTTTAAAAAAAAAAGATTTTTCTTAAATTCTTTGTAATATGTAGGACTAGTGAAAGCAAAAATTTCAGCATTGTCTTGTAGGTCATGTAGCAGAAACACACACTGAAGATGACAATAATAACGTTAAAGATGAGGATGGAGAAAACAGACCCATTTAGTTGCAAAGTTCTATATTTTAAGTGAATCTTTACCATATGAATTGTAAGTAAGTTGTACAAAGGTTAAAGTGAATATGATAATTTTTAGAGCAGTCACTAAAAAAAATTAAAGAAATATATCTAAAATGTCAATAGTTAACAAATGAAACTAGAATAAAATTTTTTTTTCAAATAATTATATTTGAATTCTTAACATACACTTGTGACATACAAGTCATTGTATGTCATCATTGTAATTAACCTAATTAACACATGTATAAAAACTATACAGTTATTATTAGAGATGGAAAAAACATTTAACAAAATTCCATACCCATTGATGATAAAAACACTCAGAAAATTGGGAACAGAATAGAACTTTGTCAATCTAGTGAAGGACATCTGCAAGAAGCCAACAACGAACAGCATACTTAATGGCAGAAATGTTAAATATTTTAGCTCTAAGATAATAAACAAGTCAATAATGTTCACTCACACCACTTCTATTCCACCTTACTGGAGGGGCTAGGCAGCACATTAAGAAAAGAAAAAGATGAAAAGGCTGAAGAGTAAGTGATAAATTGAAACCTTTTAAGAGATGAAATCACCTTTTACAATTATATATCAAAAGAAACCTATAAAATTATAAAATTAATAAGTGAATTTCTTAAGGGCATGGGTTATAATATTAACAGGCAAAAATCAGTTATATATCTTATATATTGTGGCAAACAATGGGATAATTAGATTTTAAAACTTGCATTTAAAAGAATGTAAAAAACCCAACAGATTTAAGAACAGATTTAACAAAGGCACGCGAGAGCTGTAAACTGAAATCTAAAAATCAGTACTAAGAGAAATGAAAGGCAAATTTACAAAGTGGAGATATATATCATGTTCATGAATTGGAAGACTGAATATTGTTAAAATGAGTATTCTCCCCAAATTGATCTACAGATTCAATAAAATCCCAATTATTGTCTCAACTGGATTTTTTTTTTTTAGAAACTAAAAAGCAAATTCTAAAATGCATATGGAAATGTAAAGGTTCTATGAGGAGGCGGGATCTGGTTAAAGCCTATGCATGATCTTTCAGGCCTCCCCACTGGCAATTACCCAAAGGTAGCACACACTGGTGCTCAACGATAGATGGGGAGGTGGTGGTGGATACGTGGTGGACGTTGCTTGCTTGTGATGCCTTGTGAATGAAGATCCATCCTAGGTGAAGAGCCACATGGCTCCACTAGAGGGCAGACGAATTTTCCCCACATTCTGCAGAAGCTCATCCTCCTACTACAGGAGGGGAACAGAAACAGTAGGGAAGGAAGAACACGTTGGGGAGGAAAGAGGAACTTGACTTTGCCTTTTCTCAAAGAAGATGAGGGGCTATCACCTAAAGATGCTGCCTTGCCTGCTACTTCTCCTGGGACAAGGTATGAAGCTAATCCCACAGGGAAGTTTGGGGTTAATGTTGATGTCGAGTAGAGGAGCAGAGGATCTGAGGCTGCCCATCGGAGGATGAGGGAAATGGATTAGTAGGTTAGTGGATTCTGACCGAATAACAGTTGGAAGAACAGCTGGAAGAACAAAATAGAGGCAGTGCCAGGGTTCTTTGGGATCTGAGGTGACACTGAAGCAAACGGTAAAAAGACCTTCCTGCCTGGGGACCAGCTTGTCAGCCCTCCCTCTCTCTCCCTCTCTCTCTGAAACTAGGCTCTGTGTTCAGTGCTCTCCTCTCTCAAAAGCCACGCAGGGACATCCGTCAACGTGGGACCTCCTTGACGATCCAGTGTGTGGCCGATACCCAGCCCATCTCGATGTTCTGGTACCGTCAGCTCCCAGGACAGAGCTTGATACTGATCGCAACTGCAAACCAGAACGTGGAGGCCACTTATGAAAGTGGATTTACCAAAGACAAGTTTGCCATCAGCGGCCCAATCTCTAAGTCCTCCAATCTGACTGTGAACAACCTGAGCCTCGAAGACAGCAGCTTTTACTTCTGCAGTGCTAGAGACACAGTGCCCCGCACAGATCAGAGAGCTGAGCAAGAACCTCAGCTAGCTACCTCCTGCCCGGCTCCCACCCAGATGAGCCCGAGGCCCCAGTCGAGGCCCCCGGCAGCGGGCAACCACAGGTCCAGCTGTTCGCGTGCTTGTGGGCGGGTCTGGGTGTGAACGGGTCGACTGGCCACAGGGAGAGAATCTGCAGGACAGACTGCAGGACGAACCACAGGACGTGTGGCGACCAGGAGGCTGAGGATAAAATTTCTTCCGAAAGAGTGTTGAGAAGTACTTGGTTAAAGACCATCGGATATAGTTTGCCTTCAAATGGCAGGGTCAGAAATGACCTTTAACTATTTTATCTCAAGGCTCTATTTAGCTTGCTTTCCATCAGTATGCTTCAGAAGGCTCTTGGTCACCTTGATACCGTACTGGTCCGTTAGACTGATGGCATTACGCCGCATGTTCTCAGGGAGTAGGAACTAGCGCTCGCGATGCCTCAGCATGACATACGCATGCCAGACCAACGTAAGGTCTGCAGAAGTTCAGGGAGCTGCCATATCGATGAGCTTCTGAGTAGCCCAAGATCTGGGACATGTTGGATTAAACCCTGTGAAGTGAGAGATGAGCTGCTGAACCTCACATCGTCTGCCAAGTAGAAAGAGCTGCAATGCTTAGTGAGTCTCTCTGGACTTTGGAGTTAGCATACACTATAGTTGTGGTCCATTTTTTGTGTCATCTGTAGGCTGGGGCAGTGTGAGGGGGGTTCTGTAGCAGAACAAGGTGTGATTAAAGCTGCGCTGGGCCATAAACCAATGCGGCCCAGTGGTTCTCCAAGGGCCTGTGGCAGATAGGGATTCTCTGGGGAGCCCCTGACATTCCCCAATAAGAGAATCACTAAGCAGATGCAAAGAGTTTTAGTGCAAAGCCACACTCTTCTCCCTGCCAACAACTTCGTTTCCTTTGAAAAGCTGCCCCTAGGTCTTGATTTAATGCGTCATCATGACTTTCAAACTGTGTGTTAGCTGACCCTCAGATCTATAAGGCTGGACATGCACAGAGTATTCTGTTATTAACTGGTAAATATATGGGACCAGACTCAAGCACAGCTGGAGGAAGGCACAATTCTATTTCAAAAGCAAGCGTGAGTCTCATGGTACCCACTCCGACCCACACGCCTTCACTGTCAATCCACGCCCAAGGGTGCGTGGGGATTTCCTATTTCCAGGCAAAAAAGCACAGGCCTGTTTTCTGGACCGGGTTGCACGTTACTCCGGAATCATCCATAGAGTCTAACACAAGTGTGGTTTCGAAAGGGAGTGGTGAAGGGAAATCCTCTCAAGAGCCACAACTTGAGCCCATAAATCTGGATGTTCACGTTTTATGGGAGGCGAGATGTCCTGGGGTCATCGAGACATCTGTCACGTGTTCATCTAGACTATTCTCTCACATTTTCTCCCTCTTTGCTTCTGTACTGCATTCTGGGTCCTTTCTTTGGAACTATTGGCCAGTGTACTAATTCACTCCTCTGTTCCAATAAGCCATTCAACCCTTCTGTCAACTTTGTTTATTTAAATTATATTTTCATTTCTGGTAAATCTACTTGGATCTTTTACAAATATGGGTGGTCATTTCTGAAAGCATCTTGCCCCTTGTGTATTTTTAAATTATTTTCTTTAAGGATATTAAATGTCTGCTTGGAATTTTCATCTGTTAATGCCAACATCTGATGATGTTTTGCATCTTTTTGTTTGTTTGTTTGTAGCTTCTGCTTCCTGTCATTCAGGGTGGCTTATTTTTTTATGTATTATATAATTTGATGTTGTGCATTATATAACTCATCTTTGGGAATTCCTTAAAACCTGGGCTAAAAGGAGGTTTTCCAGGAAATACTTATTTTTGCTTCTGTCAACCGAGTTGTAACAGACCCAATATTTTTTTTTTTAAAGATTTTAAGGCTAAGAAGCCTGCAAATTCACCTACAGATAAGCCTCAGATTGCCAGCACCTGATATTGCAGAAAAATTGTCTCTTAAGAAGCAGTACAGTATCGTGGGAGGAACTTGGTCTCCGTCATCTGGCAGACCTAAGTTTAAAACTTGGCGCTTGGGTGGCTCAGTTGGTTAAGTGGCCGACTCTTGGCTTCAGCTCAGGTCGTGATATTAGGGTCCTGGGATTGAGCCCCGAGTAAGGCTCCACACTCAGCAGGGAGTCTGCTTGAGGATGCTCCCTCTCCCTCTGCCCCTCCCTCCACTCGCTGTCTCTCAAATAAATAAATAAATCTTTTTTTTAAAGATTTTATGTATTTATTTGACAGAGAGAGGGCACAAGCAGGGGAAGTGACAGACAGAGGGAGAAGCAGGCTCCCCATTGAAGAAGGAGCCCAACGTGGGACTTGATCCCAGGACCCTGGGATCATGACCTGAGCTGAAGGCAGACGCCTAACCAACTGAGCAACCCAAGCATCCCATAAATAAATCTTTAAAAAAAAATAAAACAAAACAAAACAAAAAAACAAAAAAACCTTGGTTCTACTGCTTTACCTCTAGGTGTCACAGATTCATTACATTTATCCTCGTATATAAAACGAGGATAATCACAAAATTAAAAAAATGAGGAACGAGAATTTGTTTTAAGAATGAGATGACATCACCCACATAAAACACATAATACTGTGCCTGGTGGAGACAAAACACACAGTTAATTTAATACTGCCTAAATTTCTTTCTCACTGCAATATTTGAAATTTTACCACTAGCAATTCCTTCCTCAAGGCTGGGTATTGCCCTCTCTGGGAAAATTTCATTTATTATTGCCATTGTTTCTCTTTCTTTTAGCTATTTTAATTACAAAGTCAATATGTATTAAAATAAAAATTGAAATCACTCACTTAAATAAAATTAGATCATATGATACATACTGTTTTATTATTTATTCTTTCAACCCAAGAATATTTCATAAATACCATTTCATGTCACAGATGTACTTTACATGTGCCTGGGTGGCTCAGTCAGTTAAGCGTCTGCCTTCAGCTCAGGTCATGATCCTGGGATCCTGGGATTGAGTCCTGCATTGGGCTCCCTGCTCAGCGAGGAATCTGCTTCTCCCTCTCCCTCTGCCCCTCCCCTTGCTCTTGTATTCTCTCTCTCTCTCTGTCTCTCTCTCTCTCAAATAATTAAATAAAATCTTTAACAAAAAAATATTTTTTAAATATACTTTACATTAACTTTTATAGGACTATTTCAATATATTGATGACTATCCTTTATATCAATTTTACCATCAAAACTAATGGCAAGGTAAATATCATATGCTAGACGACAGGGTTGTTTAATTTAAAAGCAATGGTATGTGTGCTGATTTATTTCCGTTACAGACTCAGCAGGGAATATGAAAGCCCTCCCTTTACATGACTGGCCCCTTCGTAGTTAGTTCTCAGCTCGAATACCATCTCCCCAAAGAGATCTTTCCTGACACCTTAGCTAATACAGCACTTGTCAACCCAGCAGTCACTCACACCTATTACCACTTTATCCTGTTTTAATAATACCTAACCACCACAGTTTGATATAAATATATATACTATATACACATAATATATATATTCTTATTTATTATCTGCTTCCTGTCACTATGCCTCCTCACATGCATGTAGACACACACAAAAATACACATAAATGCCATGAAAGCAAGGACATTTCCTATCTTCTTCATTGCTGTTTCCTTACAGCCTAGAAAAACTGCAGGGACATTACAGGAATTCAGCCAGTATTTACTGAGGGTTACAGACTGAATTGCACTCCTCTAGAATCCATGCAATTACAGTCCTAAGCCCCACTATTTTAAGATGTGACTGTATTTGGAGATTTGGTCTTTAACTTAAAAACGAGGTCATTAGAGTGGCCCTAATCCAATCTGGCCAGTATCCTTTTCAGGAGAGATGAGGACATCCTAGGAGAGACACTAGGGTTGTGCCCACAGAGGAAAGGTCACATGAGGACATGGTGAGAAAGCCATTGCAAGCCAAGGAGAGAGTTCTCAGGAGAAACCAACCCTGCTGACACCTTGATCCTAGAGCTCTGGCTCTCAGAACTGGAAGAAAGTCGGGGTGCCTGGGTGGCTCAGTCATTAAGCACCTGCCTTCAGCTCAGGTCATGATCCCAGGGTCCTGGGATCGAGCCCTGCATCGGGCTCCCTGCTAGGCTGGAAGCCTGCTTTTCCCACTCCCCCCTGCTTGTGTTCCTGCTCTCGCTATCTCTCTCTGTGTGCCAAATAAATAAATAAAATCTTTAAATAAAAAAAGAACTGGAAGAAAGTCAATTTTTATTGTTTAAGATACCTAGCCTGTGTTAATTTTGTTATGGTAGCACGAGCAAACTAATACATTGAGTAAATAAATATGATTCAAAAGAAAAGAGGAAAATTTGCCAAGCAGTATGGATTTCCCTGGAGAAAAAGTCTACAAAAGTATTTGACTTTAGACAATGTAAGCCCATAAGCAAATGAACCGAATTGTCCTAACGGGGACAGAAGAGGTGTTTCGACTTATGTTTGAATAGAAAGGTGGCCCAACAATGTGTCAGCTCACTCTGCTGCGTTCCCATGGCTGGGGAAGGGAACAGATGTTATGGGTTCTAGAGACCTAAGCCCAGAACCTGCTCAAACAGTGGCCCTGCAGTGGAGGGTCCTCAAACTGGAACAGTATTGATGCCTGCATGGACTGAGCACTCAATGCCGAGCCTTGGAAGACATTTGGAGATCCTCCTGGACAGGCTGACCAATAGGAATTGGACTAACCAGTGGCTGCCTTCCAAATGGACTACAGATTCTAGAGTTTTTAGAAGTCAAATGAGCAGAGAGAGCCCAATGGACTGATTGGACTTATTACTGAATTTGGCTTATGGAACTCAATCTGGATCTAATATGATTTAGAAAAATAAATATGCATGTCATTTATTAAACTCTGAGTATCATGGAATAAGTCAGGGCTACTACAATAATAACAACCCACATGGGTATTGCTCTTGGACTCTCTCCTGCCTTTGTTCCACTTACTACCCCCCAGAAGATGCTGGAGCCGTTTAAGCAGATTTAATAGGCCCAGGGATGGGACAAGGAGGGATGGAGATGTGAGCA